TTATATACAAATTTTACACATCACATTTATATAAAATTTTGATCATTTTTCTCTTTACTTTTAATAATTGAGATTTATTTATATTTATTAAAAATAATTATTTTTTTATCTAAAAAGATGGGATAAATCTCAATTATTAAAAACTGAAAAATAAATAATCAAGATTTTATATAAATATAATATGTAAGATTTATATATAAATAAATCTTTTCTCATATAAGATTAAAAAAAGAAAAAAGAAATCACCTACCTAATTAACTAAAAAGATTGTGATGAATTATCTCTCTCGCAAAGTCTTCTAAATTTTGGTTTTGATTAATTATGTAGAGTACAAACCTACTTCTTAATTAGTACTAGGTTAAGGAAAAAAAAGAATGAAAAATAAATTGCGGGTGTGCAACTATGTTTGTTGATTGAGAAGGTTATCAATTAGCAAACTGATTGAGATTTTCATGCTTGGTCCATGATCAAAATAGAGCAAGAGATCTCCAATTTTCAAGACTCTTTCCTTTTTTTTTCTTATGTTGACATCATACTGAAATTGGAAATTTTTTAGAAAACACATGGTAGGACTAGTGATGAAAGGGAGATGTCTACACATGGAATGAGTGGAAAGTGGAAACACATGTACATCTCCTCCTCACAAGTCATAAACATTATGGCACTGTGGCATTCCCATTTTGGATTTCGAATTTGAACCACATAATACAATGATGATGATTACTATCACAATTTTAGGTTGATGTCAACGGAAAACAGATCATGAGTTGTTCTATTGGGGTGATTATTGTCACTATCATAAATGTTAAGGATGTTAATATCTTATTTTATTTTTTAAATTGTATTTACAAATATTAATTTATTAATTAATTTTAAATTACTAGTTAGTAAATATTAATTATTTTAATAATTAATTTTATTAATTAAATTAAATTAATATTTTTCAAAATAATATTTTATAATTTTAGTGAGATTGTACTTCGGTATTCAAAAACCACATTAAATCCTGATTAATTTGGAGTTGATCTGGATCAAACCACATATGGAGAGAAGCTTTCTCAACACTTATTTTTTTATTTATAAGATTCGAATTCAAGATCCTATTTAAAAGAAATCAAACTTTTTTCACTCGAATAAACAGGTTGTTAGTTTTAGTGAGATTAATATTACTAAAATTAACGTTTGATTAATATTACTAAAATTAACGTTGTTATTGCTGATGATAGTCGTTTCCTCTCTTGTATCCCAACTGACAAACATTATGGGTGTCAATCAAACAAACAACCCTACTAGAAGGCACCCACCAC